CTCGGCGATCCTCCTGCCGCTAAGCTCTTAGTTCCGCCATCGATCAAGGTGGGCGCGAGTAAACCAAAACACTAACACGCTAAACACACAGACATCAACGAAACGCAGTCGATCCGTTAGTCGATCCATTTAGCAGAAGCTAGATCCTAATGTGTCCAAACCAAAAGTAACAACGTCTGATCTAAAAATGATCTCAGGTACCGACCGACCGGGAGACGTGGAGGTTGTTGAAGGGGAAGACGGAACAAGGGAGAGCCGACGAGTACAGGAGAAATTGTCACCGACGGCGGGAGCAGCTGCTGCCGCAACCTCATCTAGCAGCACCAAAGTCGATTTACTGCACCACAAACCCTCCCTATCCCGCGGTTTGAGCGACGCCGCTTCTTCCTCAAAATTGTCCGCCCACAGCAAGGACTCAACCGTGCATCACCACTCACGGGGTTCAATCGTGCCGCGCAACCGCCCGGTCGGCACGACGGGGGTGAAACGGGTCGGCACTCGAGACCTTCACGGTGAGGGGGAGGATGCTCCTGGTACCAGTGAGGAGAGCGTCGAAGAATCCGCGTCGTCAAGTGCCAGAAGCGGGTCCGCGGTGGAAGTGCAAAACGAAATTTCGTCCTCTTCGAAAGGAAGCAGAAGCGGAAGTGCTGGTAAGACGACCTCGTCCGAAGAAGAAAGTAGGTCCAGGGGTTCGCAAAGTTTGCAAGACCAACGGGCCAACACGCAGGAGCACTTGGAGCTGCAGGAAGAGCTGCTGGGCCTGTCGACAACACACTCCACGATCCAGCTGCCGCCTGCGGATTTGTGAGCGTGAGTGGGGCCGTATAGTCGTGGAAGAACAAGAAGTTGTAGGAGAGATGCAATTCCTAATCGCAAGTGTTTCTGTTTTCCAGGTCATCAATAGTAAACGAGAACACAACGAGGTTTTAACTCGCTCAAATTTTTTTTGATTTCAATTTGTGAATAGAGAATCGTGGTGGAGTAATTATTTGTTTGCTCACTCATACTCAGAGTCAGAACTTTAAGACTAGTCGCAATCTTTTTGACGCTCGTTGTTATCGAGTCCCAGTGGCGCCTTCGTTTATTTGCCGATGTCCAAGAAGTGTCGAAAATAGCAAGAGCATAAATCGGACACCCATCAAATACAAGATCCGTTATCGCGTTATGCCGATGTGAAAAATTGATGAAGTTGATGAATGTTTACAGAGAATCAAAATAAATTCCGCTCCCCTTACCTTTGTACAAACGCAACTTGATGATCTTTGAATTAATATCGCCAGCACCTCACCCCCGCCGACCAGGATCAGGGCACACGTCAGGTTACTTTTGCGCCAATGCTTGCTTGTTATGTATGGTGGAGAAACAGTAGATGGGTTCTATTTAGTGTTGCAATAGGAAATTTTATTCAGTCACAACGGTGCTCCTGTTGCCTATGTGCCTACCCGTAGTTGAAGTGACATATCACAGTTTCGTTCTTTCGAATTCCTGATCGTCAAGTCGTTTTCACTATCGTCTGTCGTGGTCCCGTGTCGTGTCGTTCCGGTGTATATACATACTATTACGCATTTTGTTTTTGTGCCGCAGACTTTCTTCTAGCAGCTCAGCATGTGATTGCGTCCAGATATGAACACCGTGCTCGTCCTGGTCTTACTCAAATCCAAATCGCTCCGTCCCGCGCATACTCGCTGCCGTATCCGTATGGGTCCGTTGCTTTACGACTGTTGATATTGTATTTCTATTTCGATTGAGAAATCCAAATCCCGATTGTATCTTCGCTAATGCCCAGTAAGCACCAGGACCAGCAGTTCACATACCGAAGCACGCGGGCCTCCCTAGAGGTAGTTCACGTCTCTCCTCTAAGAAAGTGAAAGCAAGTCCTTCATTCCACTTTTTCAGAGAAAAAAAACATTCGAAGTAGTGCCCCACTCTTGTATAGGCAAAATGTCGATCTTCCAAAAAACTATGTCCATGTCGATCTTCCACATGCAGCGCTGGTCACCACGGGTGGTGTGGGTTTCCTTGCTCCTTCTAGCGTTTGCGGCCATCGTCATCATCACAACCACGCTGCACCATTCGCATGTTTTCCTGGGCTTGCACAACTTCGACGTCCCAGTACTGGCGGGCTCGTGGTCTTCATCATCAGAAACAAGCTGGGCGTCATCAAAAACTTCTCAAGGGGTAATACACAAGCACTTTCGCGGGAACACCAATGACAACTACATTGGGAGGGTGAATAGAAACGTTGATGAACCACGTAAAAACGCCTTAGCAAAAGAACGTAAACGCGACGAGCGGGTGCCTTCCGCGGTCGTTCGTGGACAACAACCTACAACTCCGAGCAAAGGGCCCCAGATGACCATGCAGCCCCGACCGTGGTCCCCGCTCCCCGCGCTCTGGGACACGCAAACCCCGATCGGCCACGACAGGAACGACCGATGCGACTGGAGGCAAATCCGGACCCACCTCCCGGCACCGCACACGAACACGTGGCTCTGTCTCCGACCGTACAGTGATTTGGTCACCAACGCGGTGCGGCGAAACGGGGAGTGGGGTGATTGTCACCGGTTGCCGCTTTTGCACGACGCGGCGAAAAGGAGTTTTTTCCCACCCAAGCAAAAACAGTCCTCAGTGGCAGTAAATGGTGCGGCTGTACGGGCACCAGTGCCACCATTGCAAGCGGGTGCAGGAGCTCCAGAACAGCAGCAGCACCTGCTTCCCTACATGGAGATCGGCGTGAACATCGGTTCGTGCTACGTTCCGATGACCCAGAAGACGGACATCGAATTCGCGCTCGGCTTCGAACCGTCGCCGAAAAACCTTTTTTACACCAGCAGCTCCCTCGTGCGGGTTTTTCAGGACGCAGACAAGGACAACAAAAGGTTTCAGCTGCAACAGATGAGCGGCAACTTGAACAAACTACCCCTGGGTAGTAGACAACAGCTGCAACTGAAAACCAACAGCACGACTCTCCGCGAGCGCATTCGCCTCGCGCCGGTCGCGCTCGGCGAGACGAACACGGACCTCACGCTTTTTTCGGAGCCGGGAAACGCGGGGAATTCGGTGCTCGGGAAGCCGGTGCACGCGAATTTAGTGGAGGGGAAAGTGCCGGTGGTGCGCCTGGACGATTATTTCCGGGCGGGCGGGGACGTTGCTGCTTTGGTGCCTTCGATTTCTGCGTCGAAAAGTGGTGAGACAAAAGTTCCACCGGCGTCTTTGCTTCCGCGTCATCAACAGGACCTCCTTGATGTGTACAACGGCAAGAAGAAGTTTGGCGTTTTGAAAATGGACGCGCAGGGGTTCGAGACCAAGATTTTCCGCGGGGCGAAACACCTGCTAAAAATCCAAGCCTTCAAATTCATCCATTTCGAGCTGGCAACGGAGTGGCTGCGGGGGCAGGGTACCTCGGCCGAGGAGTTTTTGAAATTGCTGGAAGATGCCGGGTACCAGATCTGCGGCTACCGAAAAGTGGCAAATTTGGTTGAGCGGCTGCGGGGCAGAAACGTTGTTGAAACGCATCTGGCGTACGCCGGGAGGGACGATGCCGGCGGATGCAGAATTGGGGCGTGAGTCACGTTCTTTCTTGTTGAAATCTCATCTTCTATTGTCTTTTTGAAGAATGAAGATGTAGTCCGTTGCTATTTCTTCGTAGAACTACCATGATTAGTTTCTGTCGTGATAAATATCCATGGTACCATCTTCACACTACACAGAAAAGTACTTACATACATTCACGTAAAGGTTTACGTTGCTTTAGGTTTACAATTTCATTTTTCATCATAACATAAGTAAGCTGAGTGGTTTTTCTTTGCTATAGCAATGTCACACAGGGCTTCACCTCTCCCAGCCAGTCATGCGTGATCGAGGACGAGGACTATAAAGTGGTACTTGAAAACGAAAATTACCGCAAAGTTTGTCACTCTTATTTCCTGCCATCTCCTCTGCCAGTAACAGTATCTGCTTACCACAACAGCGGCGTCGAACGCACAAATAGATAAATTTGAATCGCTGAGGACAAAGTGAAATATCGTTGTTCGCAAGCACTAGCACTACGTGCTTCTCACATGGCCTTTCTTTGGTAACAACAAGCAATAGAGTGACATAGACATCATCCGTACCGAGACACAACGACCTGGCTTCCTTCAACAACTTCAATTACCTCAAAAGTAATCGGTTGATGTGTCCTCACTGCAGGTCCTCATTCCATAACGGCGCATCGGCGGCCTCGATGATAATTTTTACATATTTATGATCAAAGTTATTTGGTTTTCGATTTCCTAAAACAAAGTTAGGTTTTGACTTTTGGATTTTCCATTTTCCATTACCACTCGTTTCATCTTCATCACGCTCCATTTTTCCGCAAAAAGCAAATAATGCCGGCTCGTCTTTAAGCAACCCCAGCGAAGTACATCAAGAGCTCAACATGAGCCTCGCGGCCGGCGGATCATCCGCATCTTCCACCGCGGTTGCCGCGGTGCCAGCCGCAGCCGGAGGTGCGGCGCTCTTGTATAACAGCAGCAGCGGCCCAGGAACTACTACATCAAGTTCTTCACCACCATCAAATAGTACATCGCCTGGCACCAGCGGAGGTGGTGGTAGCAGACCGTCTTCATCGCCGCCGTCAACATCATCTTCCAGCAGCAATAGCAGCTCTAGCAGTAATACTCTTAAAAGCAACTTCACCGCCACAACGGCCTGGAACTTTCTTCCCGGCGCGGCGCACGCCGTCTATGGCGTTCTCAAATGTTACATTCTCAACTGTTACATGATTTGCCATGCAAAATTCGAACCAGAATCGACGCGATCAAGCTGCTTCGCATGGCAAATTCTCGAAGTGCCAAATAGGCTAAGAATCTGTGCCAAATCTGTCATGCAAAAGGCGCAATCTTTCCCCTTTTAGTTTTCCCATGCTTGCATCACAAACTCATGTAACAGTTGAGAATGTAACAGTTGAGAACGCCATACCGTCACGTCCATCCTTGTCGGATACCCGTTTGACACGGTATATGGGAGTGTCAGGATTGAAATCGTCAAAGTTGAGATAGTTTGTGATGCATAAAATGCAGCCCACAAAGTGCCTGTCTTGCAGAATAGGCAAGTGAGGCAGATTGTAAGCCTGTTGAGGGGTAGAAACTGAACAGCTAAAGTAGCATGACAAAAGGCGTCCTCTTTACCCAAACAGCATGACAAACTGGATTTCGGTTCTCCCTAAATTTGTGATGCGCCACTTGGAAACTGGGTTACGACTTTCATCCATTTTATGCATTGCAGATTATTTCAACTTTGACGATTTCAATCCTGACACACCCATACGGTAAAAACCCGGCTGCAGACCGGGATGTACCACTTGTCGGCTGGCAGCTACAGCCCGGCCAGTTACAGAAGGTATGAAATGCCAGACATGCATCACAAATCGGGTTTTCTTCTAGGTGATTCACCATGACAAATTCCAATTCTCAACTTTAGCAGAGTTAGTTGTGTAACTGCAATTTATACCAGCAGTGCGATGCTTTTCCTTTTTCAATGCATATACCACATCACCTTACAAAACAGTTTCTTCCGTGCCATTGGGCAGAGTTTTCAGCAAGAAGGCCTCTTCTTCCTCTACCGCGGGTGCGGGGTGCCCATGAGCTCTTTGTTACTGAAACGGCCCTTAGAGTTCTTCGTCTACGAGCGATTGAACGAAACGCAAAACCCCGGGCACTACTTCCAAAACGGCGCCTACGCGGCCACCGCGGGGTGCTTGATCGGCTGCCCGTTTAACATTGTGAAGATTCGTGTGCAGAACGCGGCGAAAAAAACTGTATTCTTGTCGACGTTTTTCATTTTCCCTTGGCGTAATGGAGGCGAATATGCTATACCACAACTCAATCTCTATTTCGATTGTCTTGTACCAAAAGCGTCACTTCTGCAAACGCAATGTATACAAATTCCATCTTCAGGTGCGCGACGCCGTCCGTGAAGTGTACCGCGAGGCCCCGTACGGCACCGGCTTCTTCCGCGGTTTACCGCTCCAGCTTGGCTTCAGCGTTCCATCGGCAAGCATCTACTTGGGTTTGTACGGAAAATTTCGCGAGGCTTTGTTAGTGGAAAACGACGGGCTGGTTTTGTCGAAGGGGACCGCGGGCGGGATCGCCGGAATAGCGTCCTCCGTGATTATGTGGAGCATACTCATGCCGGTGGACACGCTCAGGACAAAAGTGCAAGCGGGCGGACTACCGATAGTCGCAGCGGCTGCAAGTAGGGGAACAGCCAGTGGAGGGACCAGTGCTAGTACTGCAAGCAGCGCTGGCTCCGGCTCCGCAGCGACAACTGCATCAACAGGAGGTGGAGCGACCTCGGCGACCAGGCCTGCAATAGGCATCCTCCAAGCGGCAAAATCCATCTACGAGCAGCGTGGGGCCCGCGGATTTTGGTCTGGGCTGTTGCCAATGTACTTGCGAGCATTCGCGATTACTGCTCCTGCGATGTTTGCGTATGAGACCGCAAGAGATTGGGTCAATACAGCAGGAGGTGGAAGAACATGAAAGCATTCGATGAGTGGGAGAAGTTGCGCCTATCTTATTTATCTCTATGTCATTGTCATTGAGAATTTCTTTGAATACTAAGTGAGCGACATTAAAGATTCGGCATTGCCGTTTGTGTGATTTCTGACGTAACTACGTGGCCAAGGCCTACCTTTGTTCTGTAATCACTGATTGCGTGTTCTTCATCCTTCGCTGATGCAGTTGGGCTGCCAACGGTACAAGCCGAAGCCGAGTCGTTCGAGTTCTTCCGATTCCCGACCAGAGCGCAGCTGCGACATTACGCAGCAGCAAGGGCGCAAAGGGGTGCACCCCGCGCACGGTGTTCCCGGACCGGGCGGCATTGTGGAGAAGGCCCGCGGGGGGCAGCAGCGCCAGCTCGTCCGCCTCCTCCGCCGCCGCGATGTGCGGCGCCGTCTGCGCGATGTGCAAAACCATGCACAACGCGGACAAGAAGGCGAGGCCGCCAGTGTCTGGCGACCGATGCGCGGCCGCCTTTTCGGCGCGCCTGGCTCGAGCCAGGGCGGGCCTGGCATGATGAACAGGCGCCCCAGGAGCAGGGGGAAAGCCCGCAGGACCGGGCCCGATGTCGGGCATGTCCTTCAGTGTGCTTCGCTGTTTTCCCGGATTCAAATAACAACCCCGCTCGCAAATGGCCGGAGGTTTTTGTGGGATCTCTCTCGCGCCGATGTGCTCGCCGACAGACAGGTTTCGGAAGCCGGGCCACTACCCTGCGTACTGAGCGAGCCGCGGCGCGAAGGCGTCAACTACTAAGCCGGCGCGCGGGGGGGGCTTGTCGGCCCCCTTATGCGCCCCGAAACGCGACGCCGCAGTGGGCTGCCCGCTCTCATGTGAGGCACCGGCGTGGCCGATGGGGCTAGCAAGGCGCGCGCGCCTCGCCACGGGGCGGCTTTTTCGCGCATGGGCACCCATAGGGATGGATGCCCCGGGAGCCGTAGCCCGCGCCGGTTCGTTGTGGCGCGACCTACGTAGTGGCCCGGGCGCGATTCTGAGGCCGCCGCGGACGAAAACCCACCAAACGGCTTGGCAACAAGCTCCAGGCCGGGCCCGCCGCCTCTTAGTTACCCTGCTAGCTAGCGTTCGTAGCTGCGTTTGATTGTGCGCGTGCTTCGATCGTTGCCCGCGCGCGAGCGTGCGCCGCCTTTCGGCTTGTGAGCCCTTTTGTCGCTGTGGTTCGTGGCAGGCTCGCCCCCGCCGCTGCTCTGCCCGCCTGGCTGCCGGCCTTTCTGTGTGGCCGGCCGGCAGCGGGCCAAGCGGGCCCGCCTGGGCCGTGGTCTGTCGCGTGGGGCGGCGCCTCGGCCGGCCGTGCCAGCTAGCTCGTTGCGCCTCAGCTGGCGCATGGACATTTCCATCAGCGTGGAGGCCTCGTGGCGCCGGCGCCCTTTCATCTCTCTGGCTGCGCCCGCCGGCCGCACGCGCTCAGTCTCTCTGTTCCTACATGGTGCACCGCTGCAGACATAGTCCTGGTTCTGGGGCCGAAGCTCTTTTCAGAAGCAAAAACGAAGACGAATCCAACGGGGCCACGCACCTACCACGGCGTCGCGTGTTGCTTGGCGCTTCTGGCTATGTTTCGGAAGTATGGCTTGAAACCCAATTCAACGCAGGGCCATTAGCATTGTTCTTTGTCTCTTTTACGTCTGGTTGTGTCATGTGGTTTCCAGGATCCAGGCCGAGCTTTGATGTCCGACGCTTTTTTGCTGAAAGAATATCTGTCAATGTGAAAGAATGCCCGTTATGCGAATGACTCGGCAGCATTGCCTGCGTGCAAACAGGATCAAGTATGTAAGTTCGAGCTCAAACAAGCAGCTCACCTTACGCACAATGACCGCGGTCTTGTCTTCTGACCTATGCCTATCGCAGTCCCCTTGTTATATTTTTTTGTCGCCCAATGCACCACTTGCTTCGCTGGGCACGGGCTGCAGGGTCTTTGCATCAGTGCTCTTACATTCATGGACCGAATGTTCACACACCAGAGACAGAACGTAGAGGTCTTTCGTTGAAATATGAATATTTGTTTCTTTTTATTTCTGCCAAATAATCAAGAAAGTAACATCAATTGCATGATATGAAGCCTCTTCATGTAAGTAGTTTTTTCACAAGATTTGACCTAGAGCTAGACTCCTGTATGGGATTAAAAAAGTACAGCCTTTATGATTTTCGAAACGGCTCTCAGAGTTCCAAATCGGAACCTGTTCTTACCAACATGTTCTTATTCGCGGCTCCGAGCCATACACACGTACCCACTCTTATTCTACGCCTAAAGTTACGCTAGTAAGTAGATCATGATGAACAACAACGCAAATTTCCATCCAGACGGCCGCGTCCAGCAGACGATCCACTTGCTGGATGAGATTCTGCAGAAGCTGCAAACGACCGGCAACGCCGCCTCCAAATGCCGCGAGGAGGGGTGGAAGCTGCTCGAGGGAGGGCCAGGCGTACCTATGCCTTTCAGCAAGCGCAGTTCGGACTTGCGGCAGAAGAGCCTCTACGCGATACACAAGCCGGGCGAAACGTACTTTTACGCTTTATTGAAATCATTGCTGCACTCCATCGCGGAGGATCTCGTCGGGACTGGGGCGAAAAAACGAAAATCTTTTCGCGGGAACGGATGTGTTGCTCTGGCCACGCTCGTGACGAACTTTCTGCAGGCGAAGAGTTGTGAGGATTTGGACGGCTTTGTCCAGAACAAGCTGTATACCCACGCCGGGAGTTCAAGTTCTTCCTCTTCATCGTCTTCAAAGTCCTCGCAACATCCTTTTGTCAAAGAAACGCTCGGCTCCTCGGAGAATGTTCGGGAGCTGTTTTACATCATTGGAGAAAGAGTGCTCCGGACGTTCAGTCAAACGAGATTCGGCGACCCGCTATCGCCAATACCTTTGACCGATTACACCGGAAGTTTGATCCTGGTCATCAACCGGCTGACGCCATTTATCTTTTTCGTTGACCCCGAATGCGTCCCTGCGGAAGACATCATCGGGATCTTGAACTACTTTCCCCTAGCCGGGCCATCCGACAAGCACTTCACGAATGTCGCAGCAAATTTGATCAAGTATTTCCGGGGGGATTTTCCAGCGAGCTCAGTGCGCGGACTGATTGTCGATGACAATTTTCGCAAGTACTCGGAAGCCTTTTACCTGCTGTTGCTACGCTACCCGTACCACTTTCGGTTCTTCAGGCGAATAGCGCCTGCGACAGCGGCGCGACAGAACGTCGGTCCGGGTGGTCAGCCAAACCTCCCCGGCCCGGGCTACTTGCGACAAGCAGAGAACCAGAGGCAAGAAGAGAATCTCAATCTTCAGCAAAATCGGGATTTGGGCCGACTGGAGCTTGTCAGCCCGTTGGAGTATGTGCAGAAGCTTCTCCCGACGGCGAGCTCGCTCCTGAGCGGCCCCCGGGCAAAATTACTGATGCTGTGCTGCACTTTAGTTGCGTTGGAATCGCATCAGCGGCACGAGCGGAGAAGGTCGAAGAACTTTGACAAGGTTGTGAGCTTACGGAAAATGCTCTTGGCAGAGGTAAACCAGAACGAAGACCAGGAGTTGCTCGTGGGGCTGATGTTTCTCCACTGGCTGTACCCAAACCTCGTGCCGAAGGACCACAGTGGTGGGCCAGACCAGCGTCCCATGGACGCAATCCAACTCGCGGGTGAAAGTAGCAGGTCAACCTACGGAGGAGCAGCTGCTGGTAATCTTGGGAGAGGTTCGTCGATGAATTTCAATCAGCCAAGTTCTGGCAGCTCTGCCTGGATGCGGCCCACCCCGGCTTCTGCATCGTCTTCTTCCGCAAACTTCCAGACGGGAACGTCCAGAGGAACTGTGGCAGGCCAAAACCAAAATGCCGGCGCTGCTTCCTCCTCTTCATTCAGCTCCGACCGAGTCGACGACCTAGAAGATCTCCCCATCGGATCCTCCCTTCCGCCAGACTTACGAACGAAGCCGCACATTTTGAAACTGCTCCCCATGGACATCGTGGAGAGGCTGCTGGTTTACGACGAGGATTTTTTCACCACAGAGCTCGCAGAGGATTTCTTATTCGGGCGGCAATTGCAATTCAGAACCGTCGTGTCCGCAGCGGCAAACAGCGGATCATCTTCTGGGAACAATGGTAGCTCGTCGTCCCAGAATTATCAGAGCCAAAGATTTCTCCCACTAGCGAACTCCACGTCGCAGAATAAGCTGCTGGGAAAGATGCTGGAAAATCCGCCCATCGGGCAGCTGAGCAAGAGTAGTCTGCGTAACGCGTCGAAATCGGGGGGCAGCGGGAAGAAACAAGCCTTGGACGACGATTACTTTGGACCGACGCCGGGAGCTACGCCAGGGACGATGCGCGATAATGGACAAGACGAAGACCAGCAGGCTGTCCCGCAAGAAGACCCAATTATCCGCGAGCGCAGGCGCCGCCAGTTCACCAGCGTTGAAAGCTACTACTACCAGCTGGAAGAAGTCTTGCCCAAGCCGACACAAGGTGCTGGGAAAGCTGCAGGTCGCGGCGGTCAAGGGGCCTCATCGAGTGCGCAGCAGATGAACTTCCAGCAGAGCATGGTCGTTGATAATGACGTTGCGAGGACCTCCGCTTCTGGCGCAGCTATTGGTGACGACGCACCGGATCTGTGGTGGTCCACAGAAGCGGTATTTGACCGGCTAGTGGAAATCGTGAGGCTGCCGTTGCTCTCGACATCAAGTGGAAATAGTGGTGGAAGTAGTAGTTCTAGTTCCAGACCTCCCCGCTCCGGCTCGTCTAAAATGCGTCACTTCCTCCGTGACCGAGCGGACTCTATTCTTCGCTTGGCGTTGGTCAACAAAGACCGACTGTCAGTTGCAGCTTCAACTACGTCGAGGAACAATAATAACAGTGGCTCCGAGCAGATATCATCGAAGAACGGTGTTGAGGAGGATGCAGCTTGGCAGAAAAATACCTTGACGGTTGCGAGATTTCTACTACTCGCCCGCTACTTCCTCGACGACCAAGTTTTGCTTGCGAAAGTCCGTGCTTTTTACCACAATCCGCTGGTGAAATTCTCCGACGAGCATTTGCTCTTCGCCGAGACGTTCTTCTTCGCTGCTACGGACAACAACCACCGGTTCTACGCGCAGATGGACAGTAGTAGCTCGAGGAACTATAGTGTGATGAGGGGCAACGTGAATTATGAACAACAACATGGTAGTACCAATAAATCATCCACCGCCCGGCTCTCCATCCTCGACTCTCACGTTCTTTTCGACTACATCCAAGCGGCGATCGTGCATCGCGATCGGGTCTCACCGCTGATCAGCCGACTCTACGCCTTGCTTGTCGCGAAACGAGTGCGCGCGAACGCCGCGTCGCAGTTCGATCTTAACGCATTGGAACTCGGGTTTGGGGAGTGGTGTGCTGGAGGCCATGCAGCGGGGGCATTGCTTTTGATAAAGCAGCCAACGCACCAGTCAAAGAGGACTTTACTGTACAACACGCATTTCCTCGCTCATGCGGCGTTGAAACTACTCGTCAAGCAACCAGCAAACTTGAGGCAAGCGAGCCCTGCCACTTTTCTACTGGAGTGGCTAACTGCGTTTTGCACCCAGGACAACTGCAATTCGAATGACGCAACCCCAGCGGCAAGGGCCCCTGCGAGAGCTTTTGGCTCGTCTGCAGCAATAAGCGCTGCTCTCATCCTGAAACTCATTCCCTACGAGGAAGGGGGAGAAGATGATGACGAAGATGCCATGAGCTTGGACGGGGGAGACGATGATTTATTTGAAAACAACAGCCGCCGCAGCGTGAACAACAACCCTCTACTCGCCAGCTCCAGCTCTGTCCGAAGCAACATGTCACAAATGCAGCCACGGGAAAGGAATTTGCTGATGTCGCAATTAAAAAGCAGCATCAAGCAGGTGCGAGGTGGAACAGCACAGGCAGCTGCGCTAGGAAGTAGAAACAGACGGTCTTCTTCTGGCGCCGCTCACCTTGGTGGGTCCGGGCGTTTTGCCGGCGGGGGCATGCACAATCCACCCAACTTCGATCAAGTCAGGATCCAGCTTTTGTCTGAGCTTCTTCAAGTCCCAGCGACCACTAGTACGCACACCAACGCCGCAGGATCTTCCACTAGCGCACTTTCAGGGAATCTCAACGATTTCCAGACGCAGACGGCTGGCGGGATGTTATTGCAGTGGTTGCAGACGACCATGCAAAAGATCTTAACCGTGAAACGCGACGCAGTATCGAATCGGGGACCGCCGCCTGGGGTTCTTTCCTCGCAGTTTGGTGGGAGGAGCAATGCTAGAAATAACAACAATAACGATAATTTTCAGATGCACGACCTCGACCTGCTGGACGATCATCTCGCAATCATGGACGGGGATGTCGATATGATGAGCCAAAATGTAGTTCCGCCGCACAACTACAACATCCCGGGAGCGGCTTCTGCTCGAAGTCAACACAACTCGTCCCAGAACCAGAACAACCGGAATGAAAACCAAAACCAGGAAATAGATAGCGCACGACCACCAGTAGACTTTGTCTACGTCCCAGCTGGGCAAT